GGAATTCTGGGAGTTGAAGTCCACACATCTTCAAGTCGCCAAGGTTGAGAAACACTGCTCTCAACTTCAGCTTCCACCAGATTCACCATAGTAATAATGCTTAATCAGAAAGCAATGACTGAAGGAGGTGGCCAAACCATACACATGAATGTGCTTACAAATTTGTTCTATCTCCACTACAAGAAGGATGAAACCAAGCTTTCTTGGGGAGTCCAAGAAACCCAAGAGTTTCCCCACTCTTAGTCCCCTTTTAGTCCCCCTAGGTCTCCCACTTTCAATCCAGCACCTTCAATTCTGGAACTGGGGCTGAGAAGGAAAGACTCACCCAGAGTCCTACAGGGGACTTCCAGCACTCAGCAGGGTGGCTACAACCCGAGTCTCCTTAATCCTAGTCCAGCACCTTCACCAACTATATCACTCTGAATCTCATAGATGCATGTATTTCTATCATTTTTTAAAAGACCTTTTTAACCCACCTTTATTATTTTTTATAAGTAACTCAAGGTGGTGAATATACCTAATACTCCTTTTTCCTCCTATTTTCCCCACAACAACAACCCTGTGAGGTGAGTTGGGCTGAGAGAGAGTGACTGGCCCGAAGTCACCCAGCCAGCTTTTCATGCCTAAAGTGGGACTAGAACTCACCGTCTCCAGGTTTCTAGCCTTGGATCTTGGACCTTTAATCAGATGAAGTAGCTTGATGGTCTTCCAAGTACTTCATGACTCTTCCTTCTGAAAAAACTAACATCTCTGGGCTATTTCCCCACTAGTGTTCTAGAATGTCTTCTTAGCATCACTCAAAGTGACGGAAAGCCCTGCCTCCTTGTTGTTTTGACAAAATGATGATTGGATGACCCTTGAAGATACTAGAAGTCATTACTGAGGAAATGGCCTGCAATTCCTGAGTCCCAGGGAGAACCAAGGAGGGGACATCTCTCTGGAGGATCTCAGCCTGTTAGCTCTGAAAGGTCATAGGTTTGGCAGCACCTGGTCCAGGACAAATCTCAAGTAATCATTAGAACAGGATTTCTTCACATCAGTGTTCTGGCCATCAAGGTCATTCTCTCGTCCCACTTATAAGTACACAGACGGAAACAAAGAGCTCACAGTTACTATCAGTTAATACTCAACGCTGCAGTGAAAACAAGTGAATATGGTAAGGAGATTTATTTTTCATTTCAGCTGACTGCTGTGCAACTGCTGAGGTTAGGAAGATAAAGGCACTATTAATACTTATTAATACTCTGATGCTGACCTATTTATGCTTCATCTGATTCCATCCAGTGATGTTGAAGCCAGTCCAGAACTTGAATGTAATGGTATGTCAGAAAGATATGGGAGACTGGACCCAGAGACATTGTCTAGGGAATGGTCAGATAAGAGACAGCATGCCTGCAACTAGATGGTAGGTAGGGCAAGAGGCTCAGAAGAGACCCTCCCTAGTTTCTCAGGCTGTAAAGGAGACGGGGAGAGAATTGTACTTTCAGACTTGCAAGATTCTGTTCATGTAGAATGTAGTTTTACAATACAGTAGAATTAGCCCATCTGGTCGGGTTTCCTGTCAGGTCTACCTGGTAAGGCTGATGTCAGATTCAGCCAGCACGGCACGGCTAGGGACTTGCCTAGCCGCACTGAGTCGGTTTCACCACCCAAGCGCTAACAAAAGAAAAAGGGGAAGTGGGAAACCGCGAACTGATTAATGGGCCAGCTGGGACTGCTTGACTAAAACCGCAAGTGGATATTTTGTGTCAATGCCAATTAGCCTCGAGCTCTGTAGACAAAGGAGTGAGCAGCAGCTCAGGGCATAGCAATCAGCATGTGATTGAGAACTCCCGGCTTTGTGCACAACAGAAAGACCCAACGAAGACTACAACCATGCTAGCAGGGTAAAGCAATCAAGAAACAAAAGAACTGAACTGAATCTGCCATTTCGGTGAAGGGGGGGATTACTGTGGGTAATTTGTAACCAAGCAATGTAGCTAAGCGCGGGAATGGGGGGACTATAAATTGTACTGTAAGATGTGCCAAGCCAGTCCTGGCTTTGTCTGTAATTACACACATTATGCTTGAGTAAACTTCTTTGTTGAACACACGTGTCACGAGAGTTTCCCTGAGTCAAATGGGGTAAACCTTACAGCTGACACAATCTTGCAAGTCTCTTACTCTCTTCCAAAGAGAGGAATTTTAGGAATGGCCTCTGATCCTCAAAGAACTGTGCTATCCGCCAAGCATCTGGCAGCAGCGTTGTTGCAACACCAGCAGCAAGCGGATGTACAGATGACCAATTTGCAGAATGCCATAATACAACTAATGCAACAGCTGGACAGAATTTGCCCCAACCTATGGCAGCACAACAGATGGCGGTTCAGCCAATGCTCCTGCATTCCCATGGGAGCTTGCCGGAGAAGTTCAGAGGGGGTCAGGATCAATTCCGGATATTTACCGCTCAAAGTGAAATGTTTATGGCAGGCAAGCCAGTGGAGTTTCCCACTGATCGCACCAAAGTAACTTTTGTGCTGAGTTTGCTGAACAAAGCAGCAACTGTGGGCAATACCATTCATTGAGGGAATGATCTAGTGCTGGACAACTATCAGGACTTCATGCGTAAACTCAAAGGACACTTACAGAGTGTCCCATACAGAGAGTCACTGCTAGTTGAGAGATCCAGAAACTCAAGAAGGGGCAAAGGAGAATAAGGGTGTATATTTCAGACTTTAAATTGCTTGCTGACAATGTAGGGTGGAATGACTTAGCCCTGATTGACCAGTTCAGAGAAGGGCTGGCTGAGGATCTAAGAGATGAGCTCGTGAGGCCAGGCATCTCTAATACCCTGGAAGAGCTGTATCAGTGTTGTGTAATAATAGATGCCCAAATGGAAGGGTTGAGGCAGGGAAAGGAATGTGAAGGAGAAGACATTCTACAATCTGTCTTCCCCCATTCCACCCCTCCCAAGAGCCTCCTTGGAATTCAGGACGGGAGAACCCATGCAAATCAGAGCAGGCAAGAGAGCTCTATCATCAGGAGAGAAGCAAAGAAGAAAGGAACAGGGACTGTCTTTCCACTGTGGGCCCCTGAACACCTGGCCAGATCATGCCTGGTAAAAGTGCCAGCATCTGACACAGCAATGAGATGCGGAACTTGTAAATCAACAAAGCACACAGCCAGCAAGTGCCCAGCTTGCTTCAAAGCAGCATACCAGGGAAATTTTCTGGCCCCACTCCAGGAGGTCCAAAAGGGGGCCCTCCACCATTTGAGGAGAGCTCAGTCAGCCAACAACAGGCAAGCATGCTTAATTACTCCTGTTATTGTTACTTTAGATTCCAGGCAGAAGGTGGAACTTTCTGCTCTTGTAGACTCGGGGGCAACCACTCATTTCACAGATATTGAAACAGTAGAGAAACTAAAGTTGCCTACTCAAGCTCTAGAAAGCCCAGTGATAGTTCAGACGATTGATGGACAGCCACTAAGAGCAGGGCTGATTCTGCAGCGCATGGCTCCTTTGTAGTTGACAATCAAAGATCACACAGAGTTCATAACACTCTATGTAACTGCCTCCTTGCAAGTGCCAATCTTCTTGGGAATAGAATGGCTTCAGCTGCATGATCCAGACACTCTCATTCCCCTCCCATAAATGCCAGCAACATCACTTACAAGCAGTGCAAGATTACCCCTCCCCCCCAATGCAGAACAAGGGAGGGTCGGCACTGCCAGAAAAATGTGCAGACTTTGCAGATGTGTTTGGGGAGGAAGAGGCAGCCATGTTCCCTTCCCCCCAAGCATGTGATTGCACCACCAATTTGAAGCCAGGAACCCAAATTCCAACAAAGAGACAGTATCCCATATCTACCTACCAATATCTACGAGTTAGCCATTCTCAAGGAATATTTGGATGTCAACATCAAAAAAGGATTCATTTACCCTTCCAACTCACCAGCATCGGCACCCATGTTTTTTGTCCCCCAAAAAACAAGAGGGAGAAGCAGGAGCCACTCTGAAGGGAAAGGATGGAGCCCTCATGCATACCATTCATGACTACAAAGACTGGAACAGAGTGACAATTAGAGACCATTATCCACTCCCACTTATCTCACAACTACTAGACCAGCTACAAAAGGCATGCATCTTTACAAGACTTAAGAAGTGCTTACAACGTAATCAGAATGAAAGAAGAGCATAAGTATTTAACAGCCTTCAATACAAGATATGGCAAGTTTGAATACACAGTGATGCCTTTTGGCCTGGTTAACTGTGGAGCTGTTTTTTCTAGATTCATGAATGACATATTTTCAGACATTTTAGACAAGTATGTGGTGGTGTACTTAGATGACATATTAGTTTGTTCTGAAGATCTCTCCTTGCAGGTCAACCATGTCAAAAATGTATTGCAAAAATTACAGGACAACAAGCTCTTTGCCAAACGAGAAAAGTGTGCATTTGACCTGCCTCAATTAGATTATTTGGGCTACAGAATCTCCACAGAAAGCATACAGATGGATCCAGCAAAGGTACAGTCTATTCTATCATGGCACAAACACACACACACACACCCTGCAACAATGCTCCAGCCATGCAACTTTGAGTTGCACTGTAAATCAGATCAACACAAAAAGCTGGGAGCAGGAAGACAGGCTGCTGATATATTTGATCAGATTAGGGCATAGCAACAGCAGGATGTGTATGCCAAGGCCTAGATAGATGGCTCCCAGGGAGCCCACCATGGTATTGTTACACCTTTCACAGTGGAGGGAGGGCAGCTGTTGCACAATGATCATTTCTATGTTCTTCTTCCCCTAAGGGAGGGGGTACTACAGCTGTGCCATGACAACAAAACAGCAGGACATGGGGTGGGGGTGGGGATATTTAAAACCCAATATAGACTTTTCAGAGAGTTTTGGTGGCCTTGTGTCCATGCTGACATAAAGAATTATGTTTCCTCTTGTCATGTCTATCATAGAGCAAAACCAATCCTGGAAAGCTGGCTGGGTTATTGCAATTGCTAAAGATCCTGTTGTACCCTGGGACACTGTTTCTCTAGGTTTTATCACTGATCTTCCCTCAGTGTGGGGTTATACTAGCATACTAGTAGTAGTGGATTTATTTACCAAATTGGCTCATTTTATTCCTTGCAAGGGCCTCCCAATGGCCCAGGAAACAGCCCAACTCTTTTTGGACCACGTCTTTAGAGCTAGAGAATTGGTCAATCATGTGATCTCAGATAGAGGAAGTCAGTTCACTTCCAAATCTTGAAAGGCCCTCTTGCACATATGAAATATTAAAATTAATTTGTCTTCCTCACATCATCTGGAAACCAACGGAGTATCTGAGAAGGTTCTGTTGCAGAAATATTTAAGATGCTGATTTATGGGACTCCTCATGTGATCTCAGAGAGTTACCAGCAGAAAAGGGGAGTGACACAGCTACATTTCATTCTCATAGCCCACAGTCAATTTTCCCTGGGAATACAGAAGGGGGGGAAGAGTCTGAAGGGGAGGGTGATGTAATTGTATGCAGGAATGACCTTGGGAAACTGGGCCCAGAGATGTTGCCTAGGGAACAGTCAGATAAGAGACAGCATAGCCCATAGCTGGATAGTGGGCAGGGCAAGAGGCCCAGAAGAGGACCTCCCTAATTTCTCAGGGTGTAAAGAAGATGGGGAGAGAACTGTACTTTCAGACTTGCAAGATTCTGTTCATGTAGCCTTACAATAAAGTAGAATTAGCTCATCTAGACATGTTTCCTGTCTGATCTACCTGGTAAGGCTGACATTGGAAGAATGCAAAAGCTTTTGCAAACAGACATTGAGTGAATTGAGCTAATGTTGTTTTAGGGTAGAATGGTTTGTAGTTTGTTTGTTGTGTTTTTAATCTGCCCTAAAGCAGGAGTGATTTTCTTGGTCCAAATTTCTACCTGGCATCTTTTTCCAGCTCAAAACTTCTTCCCAAGATTATGGGAATAATCTTTCCTGTAGGAGAAATATTTGGAATAAATACTCTCTGTTCCTCCTGAATATCCCATGTCTCTGAGTGCTGTAAAAGGCTTGGCCTCTGCGTTCTTTCTTGTAACCTAGAACAGCACTCCTTGGAGCAGAAACAAATAAAAGAAATTTTACAATATCCCGGATCAAACTCCCTTTGAGAAGATGACAGTGTTTACCCTGGGTCATTATCAGTTTACCACACTTTGTTTAAACACCCTAGTTTGACTTAAAACAACCATTTCTCATTCCCTTGAACCACCCAGCTCTCCTTTTCAGCTGTTGCAATGGGTCCACAATAAGGCATCTTTCTGATCTATTTATGCAATTGCTTACCATTCATTTTTTGATAAAACTGTTGATGAAGAACTATATTTTATGCTTTAATTTAGTCAATTTACATAAAGTTTCCTTCTGTTTCCTGTCAGGAAAATTAACCAAGAAAAATGTCAGTTCTGCTGCTGGCTTTGATCAGTCCAGTTAATCTTGAACTAAACTTTTTAAAACACCCAACTTTGATCTGTGAGAACTTAAATAATAATGTGAGAGGGGGGGGTTTTCTGCCAGCAGAATCAAATGTGAGCACTTCAATTCCCCCTGAAGAGGGCATATGTCTACTTAGAAATGTCTTTGTCCTAGCCAGAAAGAAGGATCTCCCTTTATCCTATTACCTGGGCTTTTTAAAAATTCAGTTCATTCTTAGATGTCTTCGATACATGTGAAGCCCTTTGCATTGCAAATGTAGATGTTTTTATTTACAAAATTATGCCTCCGTGTCAGCCAAAGCTTTCCACGCACTATAATAAAGGATCTTAATAGTTTTAAAATGAAGTTATGCTAAAGGGAAGCACAGAAACACCAGAAAAGGTTGTGGTAGAAGAAACTAAAGGAAATCCCACAGCACTGAAATGTTTTGTGTTTCATAAAAAGCACAAACACTCCTATTAAACATTGAAGTCTGAAAACAAATCCTAGGAGAAGAAAAGTATCTCATTTGGTGGGGAAGAAGCCACAAGAAAGGCCTGGCAAGCTTCCCTGAAGAGGAAAGAGGTCTTTAAATGGGTCCTGACTCCTGGTCAGAGGATCCATGGAGTTTTTGGCAACTTCATAGAAGCGGTTGGCTGTTCCAGTTGGGAGCTCAGGGCTGTTACTCATTTGCCAGGAATTCTCAGTGACTGATTGTGCAAATGTTGGGTAGGGAAAAGGTTTATTGTCTAGGAATCTTTGAAGTATTTGTTGCTGGTTTGCAGACTAAGGAATTCCTTGGAATGGGACTTCCAGCTTCTTGGATATCATCCTCATTTCTTCTGTTTCCCAAGATTGGGAAGGCCCAAATAATCCAGGGTTGAGGTCACTTTCTTAACCATTCAGAACATAGGAAGTTTGCATGGGGAGCTTCTCCACACCCAGGTGATGTCCTGGTCCTGCCATTGAGAGGTTGGGGGCTCTCCTGCTCAACTTCTCCCTTTCTGCTGTTGACTCTTCATAGGGAGTGGAGATGGGCAGCCATGAGGGGAAGGACTGTGGTTTTGAGACCCCCTGTCAACAACATTAACTGGTGACCCTGTTGGGATCTTTCCAATGCCAAGTGAAGGCCGTTCTCAGGCTCTAGGCAGGCAACTCCCCTGGAAGCAAAGATCTCACAGAGTCACCTTATTTTATGGAAAGGGAAAGGAGAAGGCTACAAAATGTCAGGAACCAGATCAGTTTCAATTTAGAGCCATTTTATCTTTCAGTTCATCGGGGAGGATATTTCTTTTAATAATTCTTATGGGTAGTTCTTTTCCCAAATAATTGAGGAATTTGGAGGTGGTTGTTTTCCCAATCATCTCCTGAATCTTCATCAGAGTGCAAACATCTGGTGCAAGTATGGAAGTTCTGTTGTTTGCATCATAACGTTATGGCACGGGGTGGGATGGGGAATGCCAATGACACCTGTGCCATAACATTATGATGCAAACAACAGAAATTCCATACTTGCACCAGATGTCATGATAATGGTTGCTTTGTGCCATGACATCATGACACACAATTTGCCATTTGGATGTAATTGTGGCTTGTTACAGAAGCCATGCTTTCTATCCTCCAAGGCATTCAAGCAAGATGTTTATAGAATGCGGACATAGTTCTTCAGTGTGGTAGTGTGCTGAGAGTGTTTTAAAGGTACATCTTAGGGCTATTTTGATCACACTGTATTTGTGTTGCTGATTCTTAATTTCTATAAGCTGTTCATGGGATGGGGAGGATAAAAATATGATGATATGAAAACATGAATGATTCTTGCCAATACTGATTAATTTTTCCATCTTTTCAGAAACTCCTCCTCAGCCTGACGGTGTTCTGTACTATCTTCAGCTTGTGTTATGGATCTTGCGGTCGACAATTACTTCACCCCAAAATTGTTAATGGTAATGTTATTGAACAACCTATTAATCAGAGAAATGAATTATATGATGCTTGGGAAATTCTTGAAATGTTTTTTCTAGAAAAGCAAGGTTGCTGGGCCCTATATCTTTTCATTGTCCATTCAGATCATACCACACCTTCCCTGAAAGTGAGTTTGTAATAGAGGAGTGGACTTCAACTCCCAGAATTCACAGCAAAGACCATGATAGTTCACAGATATGGAGGTGCTAGGCTGGGGAAGGTCTCCTTAAACCCAACAAAAGTCAAAATAATTTTCTTAAGAGAGACAGAAAGAACAAATGATATGAGTGTGTAGTCCTCACCTTTGTTTACAATGGTTTGCTGTTACGTATGCAGAATGAGAAAGCTCCTTTAGATATGTATTTCTATGGGAACCTATTTCTTTGTCATTGTCACTAAAGCTTGACTGCAACAGCAATCTCATGGTATAAAACCAACTATATCTCACTGAATTCCTTTTCTCACTTTCCTAAAGAGACAGGATGATTGTTAAGGCCAATGGCAGGGGCACAGTGTAGATCAGGGGTGTCCAACCCACGGCCCTCGGGCCGCATGCGGCCCAGGATGGCTATGAATGCGGCCCAACACAAAATCGTAAACTTACTTAAAACATTATGAGATTTTTTTGCAATTTTTTTTGTAACTTGATTGCGTGGTTCTTGAGCGTGAACTTTGTAGATGACGTCATGTCACAATGTCACGTAAAATAAATGTACATATACTCTCGCTATTTGTACGCACGCGTGGCTTCAGTTTTACGGCAGTGTTCAGCTTCCAGTGTGTTATCTTCCAAGCGCAGACAGGCGAATTGACACTATCAGACGTTACATGTGCTCGTGGTGACTTGGCGAGTGAAACGCAATGATTATCAATAATATTTCAACCTACCATTGAAAACGATAGGCATTTAAAGTTATTTAGAAGACAGGTAAGCATTCTTATTTGATTATTAAGGGTACTTCTACACCTCGGCTGCGCCTCACGCATCGCCTGCTGTGCTTTACCTGTACAATTGGGCCTCCACCTCACGCTGTATCAGCAGCCGAGATGTGGAAGGACCCAAACTTTGCTTTCTATTTTTCTGTCAATTAATTTTCATAATAAAAGTAAATATACTCCCTTATCTATTATTATTTTGTTAATCCCAGCATGGCTTCTACAACATCTCAAAAGAAAACAGAACCCCAAAAAAGAAAAATTACAGATGAAGGAAGATTGTTCAACGAAAAGTGGACAGATGACTACTTTTTTGTCGAGGCAAACAGTAAGGCCCTCTGCTTAATTTGTAGGGAATTTGTTCAAGTTTTCAAAGACTATAATTTGAAAAAGCATTATATGCAAAAACATGCTGCCAAATTCAGTGCGTATCAAGGATTGTGTTGTAAGGACAAAATGGTGGAACTGAAAAAAAGTCTATCTTCTGAACAATTTTTTTTTTTTAAGTTACAACTCAGACGGTCTCTATTGTAAAAGCTAGTTATGTGGTAGCGTATTTAATAGCAAAAAATCAAAACCATTTACTGATGGTGAGTTTATTAAGCAATGTATGGAAAGCATGGCAGATATCATTTGCCCTGAAAAAAAGGGGGATATTTCTAAAATCAGTTTGTCTCACCAAACTATAGCCAGGGGAATTAAAGAAATTGAAAAATCTATCAAAAGAAGTTTGGAGAGTAGAACTGCTAATTTTAAATTTTATGCTTTGGCGATGGATGGGAGCACTGATGCCACAAATACGGCTCAACTTGCTATTTTTATTGGAGGTACTGATGGCGAATATAATGTCACTGAAGAAATGGCTTCTTTAGTGCCATTAAAAGACACGACTAAATCAAGAGATTTATACGAAGCAGTAAAAAATATGTTAAAGCAATTTTCTTTGTCCATTGTCAACTTATCTGGTATAGTTACTGATGGTGCCCCAGCAATAGTAGGTAAAAGAGAGGGACTTGTAAAATTAATAGAAGATGGTGCAATTGCTACCCAAAACTCACGTTTGACGAAGTATTATTGGATAGTACATCAATAAAATTTACGTGCAAATGCTTTAAAAATGGATAACATCATGCAAATCGTCATCAAGACTATGCATTTCATAAGGGCCAAGGGATTAAATCATCGCCAGTTCCAGGAATTTCTTAAAAGGGTTGATGCTGACTATGGCGACATCATTTACTTTTTGGAAGTAAGGTGGCTAAGTCAAGGCCAAGTGTTGGAAAGATTTTATGATTTACGACATATTATCAAGTTGTTTAGGTATCAAAACAAAATTTGGGCCAGAACTTGACAACGAAAACTGGCTTACAGATTTAGCATTTTTAGTGGATTTAACCACTCATTTAAATGAGTTAAACATGTGTTAAATGAGT